CTTCATGAGGTGGCGATAGTGCTTGTGCTTTTTCTTTGAAAAATACATAATGCTGAAAGAAGTGGTGAAGAGTGACACACTTTCCTACTTAAGCACCAAGTGTGCCTCAGATCAACAAAACAGTGGAAGAGGAAGTAGGGAAAGTAATAATAATAATAATAATAATAATTTATTATTTATACCCCGCCCATCTGGCTGGGCTTCCCTGGCCACTCTGGGCGGCTTCCAAAAGAATATTAAAATACTATAATACATCAAACATTAAAAGCTTCCCGAAACAGGGCTGCCTTCAGATGTCTTCTAAAAGCCTGGTAGTTGTTGTTCTCTTTGACATCTGGTGGGAGGGTGTTCCACAGGGAAGGCGCCACTACCGAGAAGGCCCTCTGCCTGGTTCCCTGTAACTTGGCTTCTCGCAGTGAGGGAACCGCCAGAAGGCCCTCAGTGCTGGACCTCAGTGTCCGGGTAGAACGATGGGGGTGGAGACGCTCCTTCAGATATACTGGACCAAGGCCGTTTAGGGCTTTAAAGGTCAGCACCAACACTTTGAATTGTGCTCGGAAACGTGTTGTTCTTCATTTCGTCTTTCATCTCTCTATGGTTTTTAAACCTCAGAACAACACTTGAGCAGAAAACTGGGAGAAAGGATAACTATCCGGATGGGGGACTGCAAAAGGAAAGTAGAATTGCTGGCAGGAAGCAGGAGGGGGCTGGAAGTTGGGTGCAGTGGCGTAGCGTGGGGGGTGCAGTGGCGTAGCGTGGGGGGTGCAGGGGGGGCCGGCCGCACCGGGCGCAACATCTGGGGGGGTGCACTCGCAGCTCTCTGCCCCTACCTGGCTCGCTCACTCTCTCTCACTGCAGTGCTGGCTGTGCGAATCCGATCCGAGCCGCTGGGTCGCCGCCCACTGTGGAGGGGGTGGGTGCCAGGCGTGCGGTGCAGAGAGAGAGCGAGGGACTATCTGGGGGAGGGACAGTGCAGCGGCTGCCCAGCGCAGCACTGAGCGCGGGAGAGAACCACACCAGACCAGACCAGGCAGCAGCAAGAAGAAGCTGGCAGCGGCGGCAGGTTAGGGGTTAGGGGGCGCAAATTACTTGCCTTGCCCCGGGTTAGGGGGCGCAAATTACTTGCCTTGCCCCGGGCGCTGACAACCCACGCTACGCCGCTGGTTGGGTGACATAGGAGTTGGGGAAGAGAGGCTGGAGTAAGAGAGAGGAAAGGAGAAAGTAGAATATGAAAACCAGCATGCACTTTCTTTGGCACATGCATGCACACACAGGTTGGAGCCAGTAAAATGGATCCTCCTGAAAATGTGACATTTGTCTCTTGGTTGACTGAACAAAAAAATAAGAAACCTAGCATTTGCCAGTGCTGCCATGCCACAAAACCATATTTTGTTCTCATATTTTTTACATGAATATCTTCCAAAATCAAACATCACACTACAGAAGTAAGTTGTGAGTTTTCTTTGTGGCAGTTTTGTCAATTCAAGTGGATTCATTTTAATTTTCTTGGCGCTTTGAGTTTTTTGGGGTTTTTTTTACAATCAAGCAGTGTATAAATTTTATGAGGTATAAATATATTAAAATTATGGTTAGCATAACACACTAGTTCTGAAGCAGTGTTTCAACTACGACAGTTTATTAAAATATGAATGCTTTAGGAGTAATGAGGTCTTTCATTGGTCAAAACAACTGACTTCACATGACACACAGTGAAGCTTAGTTTTTGCATTTATTTCTTTAGAAACAGTTTTTGCATTGTGAATTTGATTGAAAAGCTGTGGGTGTATTTGTAAATGAAAATTCATCTTGGAAGCAAGGTTAAATCAGTGACCAATCAACTGTCAATACATTCAAGACGGTTAGTACAGTGGTGCCTCGCAAGACGAAATTAATCCGTTCTGCGAGTTTCTTCGTCTTGCGGATTTTTTCGTCTTGCGAAGCACGGATGCACCCTGGTACTGTATTATAAAGGGATAGCGGGCAAAGCACAAAGCGGGTCGCTCCCCAGCAGGAGGAGTTTCCCCAGCCTGGAGGATCTGTTGCTGGGAAGAGGCAAAGACACCCCCTCCCACCTCCCCACGAAAACAGCCCCCCTTCCTCTGTCGCCAAGCCTTGCCGCGTCTTCGCTCCGCCAAACCGCGTCCCACATCAAAGCCCCAGCCCACTCCTCTCCCTCTCTCTCCACGAGGTGCCAAAGGAAGTTCGAGCCCAGGAACCGAGGGCGGACGCACGAAGCGCCCGGCGCGGACTCTCCCTTGCTCCCCCCGTTACCTTGCGCCACGCTGCCGGGCTCCCCACAGTCTCGGCAGCTGCTCCCGGCTTTTTCCCACCCCCGCAAAGGCGCCTTCGCGGCGGCCCAAGTGCAGTGGATGCCTCCTCCTCCTCCTCCTTTGTCCCGCCTCCTCCTGCCTTCGCGCAGTTAGGGCAAAATGGAGCAGCCACGAGGGGAGGGGGAGAGAGAGAGAGAGAGGCAGAGGCGGCGGCGCAGAGACCCAGCCAGATCCGCTGGATCCCAGCCCACCTGCCTCCTCTGTGCCCTCTCCAGAAGAGGATCCCTCTGGAAAAGGTAGGTTGCTCCCTCGCTCGCTCCCTGCCAGCCCAGTTTCCGCTTCAAAAGGAAACAAACGTCTCGTCTTGCGAAGCAAGCCCATAGGGAAATTCGTCTTACGAAGCACCTCAAAAACCGCAAAACCCTTTCGTCTTCCGAGTTTTTCGTCTTCCGAGGCATTCGTCTTGTGGGGCACCACTGTAACAGGTTTGAGATTTGTTGTTTATGTTGCCAAGTTCAGCAAAAAGTAGCTTGATTTGTTTTTCTTCCAAGTAACAGACAGGAACAACATGTATGAAAGGGTTGATAGTTCCAATGTGAGCTTTTAATAACTATTTTAAGACAAAATGAAGAATAATAAATCCTATCTTACCTGCAGGGAGGCAACAATGCTGGGCATACTGTCGTAGTAGATTCTGTGGAATATGATTTCCATCTCTTACCCAGTGGTATCATCAATCCAAAAGTTACGGCTTTTATTGGTAAGTGGTATTTTTCAGAATATACTGTACCTCTACAGTTTAAAGTCTTTTTTGTAATTGTTATTTTATTGAAAAATTTTCAAATATAAAGCAGTAAGTGATACATAAAGAGAAAAAACAAAACGAAACACACAACTGTGGGGGAAAAGGGGGAAAAAAGCACATATGAATATATAGAATAATACCCTAACCCATACATTCTTTTATAAATTTGATATTATTATCCTAATACTAATGTAAATATTAATAGCCTACTACATTTTGTATAAATTTGTTCCAAATATTCTTGTATTTATCCAAGCAGAGTCTATGTCTGTAAGCAGTCCGTTCATAGGTTGCAAGTCTTATCATATTATCAACCAGTTCATCTCTAGGAAATTTTACCATCAAGAAAGATGGTATAAAAAGGTTGACTATCCCTGGACTAGATTATCAGACTAAACTCTTCTGGATGTGACCCTGCCCTTCCAAGTAAGCAGGGGTGCCAACTTGAATAAAATACTGGGAGGAGGGCAAGGGTGTCAACTTTGGACGGCAGCCCTCTCAAATATTTTATGGGGGGGGGCGAAGGAACCTTGTCCCCTAGTAGTTGGCTCCTATGCAAGTAAGTACCACTTCTTCAACCTTGCCTCTACTGGGAGCTTTGAGCCAAGGTAGGTCATGACAATATATGCCTGTCTACTTAGGTAAAGATGGAAACATTAAATGTAGCTGTTTGCAGTGCACTCTATTCTCAAGAACTATACACTATTAAATATCTAGGCATCCTAATGCCAAAAGATATAACACAGTTAGTTACACTTAATATAAATAAATTAATAAAAGAGGTTTATTCAGATATTAATAGATGGGAGTCATTGAATCTTACCCTTTGGGGTGTTGGGATACTGCCAGGGAGACAAAGTCCATCATGGCCCCCAAGCCGGCTGCCGGACGATCCATCGACCTCCCGTAGTCACGCAGTATCAGCAATTAGTGACATGAACTTCTGAGAAATAGCTTGCCACATTCCAGAGCTCATGCACACTCTATCAGCAGACAATGCACAGCCAAAGTCGCACTCAGGAGAGCATTATTTACAAGTTTATTCAGCGTTGATCAGAACACAGGAAAACATGACTGCCTGCTTTAGTGTCTACGACACAGAGAGAGAAAACGAAAGCAACAGAAAACATAAACATCCTGTGAACAGGAAATACGCAGACTCTGTGACTCACAGCCTGCTCCCTTTTAAGGTGGAACGGAAATATCCTAACATGGGGAGGGTGAATGCTCTCAAAATGAATATTATTCCTAGATTAATTTATATTTTGAGAGGACTTCCTGTCGGGGAAATTGATTTATTGCTCAGATAAGCGTCTGGCACGCTTCCCATTGCGCACAGCTCTGGCCGGCATTCCAAAGTCCACATTCCTGATACTTCTGAGCATAGCAGAGATCGACAGCGGCAAGAGAAAGACTGCAAAGAAAACTCCAGTGCCTTCTTCAGTGTGCTTAAATAAAGTCCACTCAGGATCTTAGCAGCTAAAAGCAGTTTTATTTACAGCAGACTATCCATTATCTATCGCAGCGAACAGCATCGTGAAAACACGTCCTCTCTCCTCAAAAGCGAAAGTAGAGAGAAAGAACAAAGGCTTGAGGCTCTCGGAAATGACGAAGAATTTCCCCCCTCCTCTCAACAGTAGGCAGGGCGTACACTCTGAGCTGTTTAACCCTGTAAGCTCAGGTTCTCCTCACACCCCCTCTCGCCCTGCGCTACTGTGGGGAAAGTAAGTACAGAACTTACCCCCAACTCCAAACCACCACAAAACTCCCCATGACACTGGAAGCTTAAAGGTTTGGTAAATCCATCGGCCAGGTTACTGTGACTGGCACAGTACTTCAGTCGTATCAAACCTGACTGAACACTCTGACACACATTTTGGAAACGTATGTCCAGATGCTTGGTTCTGGCCTTAAATTGCGCAGGTTCAGCCAATTTCAAACAAGGTTGATTGTCTTCCCAAACCGTGATGGGCAAGCTACAATCCCCATAGATCTCTTGCACCAAGCATCTATAGAACTCTAGTTCCTGGCACAAATCTGACAGTGCACTGAAATCAGCCTCAGTAGAAGACAGCGCAATGAGACTTTGCTTCCGGGACTTCCACCCAACTAGTGACTTCCCAAACTTTACCACCAATCCAGACACAGACTTGCGGTCCTGCGAATTCGCCCAGTCACTGTCCGCATAGCACTGGCTGTAAATTGACTTGTGAAGTTTCCACACAGTACCTTGCTCATTGCCCTCAAACCCTGGAGGAGGAAGCATGTACAGATCCTCCTGGAGGTCTGAGTTCAAGTAAGCAACATCCACATCAAAGTGATGCACCAGCAAACCTCTTTGTGCAGCGATGGCCAAGACCAAGCGTAGAGATTCACTCCTACAGGTGGGAGCATAAATTTCCGTATAATGCAACCCCCTGCGCTGCGTGAATCCTCTCGCCACTAATCTGGCCTTATACTGCGGTTCTCCTGTCGCTGTGGGCTTAAGACAGTAAACCCAGCGGCTACCCACTGTCTGTTCACCCACCGGCAACTTCGTGAGGGAGAACACACCTAGAGACTTCATTGAGTTCATCTCCTTCTGCATCGCCTCATGCCATTTCCTGGCTTCTTCCTGAGGCAGTTTCTGGACATCCTCAAAACTCTCGGGTTCACACTGTGCCATTCCGACCCACACACTAGTGACGGCAAACCTTTCAGGAGGTTTCCCCTTGGACGTCCGCGTTGAACGGCGCAGCACTACTTCAGGAACCCCCTCTGACCCACTAGGGCCAGCCAGAACGTCCTTGGCATCAGAGAGCTCCCCCTCTGACTTACTGCGCCTTCTGGACTTCTCAGCCGAACCTGTGGGGAAGATGGAGCACTGCGATGCTCAATCTTCACAGCCTTGGGAGAAGTTCTCCCCTCTGCCTGCACTGGGTCTGGACTCTGAGCCTCAGTAGCAGGTTCAACCTCTTCCTCTCCTTCATCAGCAGAGTCTAGCAGACTCTCTGACAGGATGTCAGGGTTCCCATGTATCCTTGCCCAGCCACTCTGCTCACAGAATTCAGCACTGTTGCTGAGCAGAATCCTGGACTGATTCCCTGACGGATACGCAAACCTCCACCCCTTGGTCCCTGGCTCATACCCACAAAAAATCATCTTTTGGGACTTGGGTTCACCTTTCTTGCATTTGGCCTTTGGTATGGGGACCCAAGCCTCACAGCCAAAAACACGGAAGTAGTGCACCTTCGCTTTCTTGCCATGGAGCAAGAAATACGGTGTGTCACCTACCACTGAATTGAACGACCTGTTCAGAATAAAGTTGGCCGTTCGCCAAGCCTCCCCCCAAAAGCGCTGTGGGAGCCCGGCATCAAACAAAAGAGCTGCGGACATCTCCCCTAGAGTCCTGTTTCTGCGTTCCGCGATCCCATTCTGTTGGGAACTGTGTGGAGAAGTCAACCTGTGTTGAATCCCCTTTTTGCGGAAGAAACTTTGCAGTGCAGACCCGGTGAACTCCCCACCACGATCGCTCTGAAAGTTTTGCACCTGTGTGGAAAACTGCAGTTCCACAGCCGCAATCCAGTCTTTGATTAGCGGCGCAGCTTCATCTTTGCGTCGGAGCAAGAAGGACCAAGAGTTCCTCGTATGCTCATCAATCAGAACCAGCGCAAATTTGGCTCCGCCCATACTGCTCACAGAAAACGGACCACACAAATCTGCATGAATTAATTGAAAAGCCCTAGTGGTCACCCTCTCAGACCTTGGGTATGTGCACGTTTTCACCTTTGTAGACTTGCACGCTCTGCAATCTAGAAACTTAGCACATGATTTCATTTTGCACCCTTGCGTACACTCTGGGATCTTCATCACTGACCCCCAGGACACATGTGCCATGCGTCTGTGCCAGAGGTGAGCACACGCATCATGAACTGGAACGTTGGCACACTGCGCTTGAGCCTCCTCCGTGTCATCTGGACCTGCAAAAGAAGCATTTATCACAAACAACCTGTCTTTACATTCAACACTGACTAGGTGCTGTCCATTCTTAGAAATAGAACACTTATTGTTCTCAAAACACACTCTGTAGTTCTCAGCAAGAAGTGCACTGACAGACAGCAACGCGCAGGACAGTCCTGGAACAACAAAAGCCTGGATTGAATCCTGCAAGAAAGAACAAAACAGTGAGCCAGTCTGCGTGAGTGGGTGTCGAGTCCCATCTGCTAAACAGACAGTCTTCCCAGATTTTACAGAGGTGCAGTTCTCCAGGAATCCACTAGATGGCACGAGATGATGGGAAGCTCCACTGTCTATGACAAAAGCCAGCACAGCATCCTGTTGACAACTCTTGACTACAGCCATAGAGGCTGCCAAATGTTTACGTTCAGTGTCTCTGCCAGCTGCCTTCGGCTTGCCTTTCCCACGCTTTGAAGAAGAGCCCTTTATCTGGTTGCTACGGGAGACGGCCTTCGGCTGTTCCTCCACTGGACATTCTCTCACCAGATGGGAGGG